TGATGCTATTGTAAACAGCAGTTTGCAACATTCATTTTCTAAATGTCTGATGTTGGTAAATAGAAATACCCACTAGATTTCAAGCTCTCAAGCTCTATGAGGATTATACCTACACCTTGCTCATCTTGCCCCACCACAGTGCCCTAGCACACACTGTTTTAGATACGATACTGTTTTAGAAGAGACCCTCAATACATGTTTGCTTAAATGTACTGGGAAAGAAAAGAAAGCTGAATGGGTTAAGATTTAATATTTTCATGCTGCATCTAATCCCAGAGCTTTGGAAGATCAACTAATTCAACCACCTCAAAGATATTAACAGTTTAATAACTTTCTGATTAGAAATGTAACACTCATTTAAGAAAGGTTAGAAACTTCAACAACAACAAAAGAGAAATGGCAATTGTCAAGCAAGCTGCTGCCCAGAGATGACCACTGCTGGAGCAGTAATGTATTTCCTTGGGTCTTTTCCTTTACCCTGGGTATTTATATAGTTCAGTTCATGGTGTATATCCATTTCTATGCCCATCTTTTTCCCCACCTCTGGCTAAAATAAAAGCACTTTTGCTATTGACAAGTGTTGCAAATATCCATAATAGCTACATAGTAAACCACTGAAAGGACAAGCACAGCATTTATTCTTCTGTTAGGCACTAGGATGGCCATCTTTGTGTGCAAAGCTGTGTCCGTATCTCAGATAAGTTTCTGAGGACAGAATGATTCCCTTGGACATTTAACTATAGCAAACTAAGACTGTTCTCTTACAATGATAACAACTGTTACAATAACATTTTCTCTCAAATTTTGTATGTGAATATTTTTATCATTATAATAAAAACTGTTGCAGCCTCCTATTGTCAGGCCCTGTTCTGAGTGCCTCAGATATATTCACTCCTTAAACCCTCAGAACAACCCTGTGGGTTGATGCTCTGGAGAGCTGAGGCTCTGGGAGGCTAGAGTCCCCACAGAGAACCCAGGCAAGTCTGACTCCAGACCCCATGCTTATAACCATTATAGTATAGAAAATACAAACAATGAAGTAAACAACACTTTTATTAGCCAAGTATTTACATGAAGTTATGAATGCCTAGCAGACAAGAAAATCAAATAGATAAACAAACAAAAAAGCAAGAAAATATGTATTAGATCTTAATGGAAGTCCTTAAAATTGACCTTACTCCATTTCTTTGGAAAAGAGCCAATATTACCATATCTCCAACAGAAGATCTGCAGAATGTAGAATTCCAATATCAGACCTTTGCACATTAACAAACTCTATGTTGCAAGACGAGCTTAAGAGTCTGAAATGCCTGGAGACCAGAAAACTGCAGCCTATTGCCAACGTGCAACCAACACACTAAAGGCTCATCACTGAGGACCATAGGCTGCAAACAAATCCCACTTCCACAGCCCTCCTTTCTAAAGCGAGTCACAAGTTAAACCATTACAGTTAATAACAATTATGTCCACTTCAGAGACCGACATACTAAGTTCAAGTTTCATACAAGTTTTACGATGTGTATCATAATATGCCTCTTAGGATGCTCCTATTGGAAGTCCCTGAAACTTATCTGCAAGCTAAAGTGTGAGAAAGGGTAAGTGGAGTGACAGAAGCCTAAGGGGACTAGAAACCCACCCCCAAAGCACTCCCCAAATCTCTCCCCAAAGCACCCCGAAAAAAACAATGTTTGGAGGGGAGGAAAGGGGGTACACAGAGCCTGTGTCTGTCTGGCCTGCTCAGCCCCAAGGCAGAGACTCCCCAGACATTCTCCACAGCGTCCCATTCTGTGCTTTGAAAACTTCCATTTGGACAGCATCCAGCCTTCTGGCTGGCAGGACAAGGAGAAGCTCCACACAGTGTGAATCAGGCTAGAGGATTAGAGAAAGGTTATTACAGGCAATGCTTCTCCTGATTAGTTGCCCTGAAAGATGTCAAACTGGGCCAGCCAGTGAGACTGTGTCTGAGATGCTCCAGCACAGATGCTGTGACCAAAGTGGCAAGAGCAAGCCATTGTTAAGAAAAACCTGGCCAGAACTTGCCTCTTTTGTTCATACTGTGACAAATACTTGTTGATCACTTACTCTGTGCCAGGCCCATCCCAGCATCTGACAATTCCCAGGTGAACAAGCCACACAGGTCCCAGTCCTCATGAAACTTATGTACCAGTTGCCCAGGATTTTCCCAGTGTTAGCACTGAAAGTCCCATGTCCTGGGAAACCTCTCAGTCCCAAGCACACTGGGATGGTTGGTCACCCTATGTCAGATGAAGCCCAGGCCTCATTCTATCTCCTGTCTTGTTTCCCACAACTACCAGCCCCATGTTGATACTCCACAAATCCCAGGGTCCCCCTCCTACATTCTGATGCCCCACACGGTGATTCCTGCTTGTCCCGGAAGACTTCACTCTGGTGTCGCCTCCTCCAGAAAGCTTCCAAGAAGGTTCCCACAGAACCCTGGGCCTACGGTGGTCCAGTGCTTGTCACGCTGTACAGTCACTGGCTCTATGGTGGTTTCTCCCATCAGCCTGTGAACTCCCTCAGGGAATGAGCTGTTCTGTATCCCAAACCCAAGGTGTTTACTATCAGCCAAATGAAGATCATCACCAGCACTAGGATGGGTATTAGCTGTCTGTGGCGCTCTTTTCCAAGTCACTTTAGGATCTTGTAAGCCCCACACTAGCAAGCAAATCACCAGGTTATTCAGGCAGGCTGTAACATGGATTAAGCTGATCTGCCTGATCCAGGGCAGGCAGCTCAGGTTTCCAAAAAGCATCTAATGGCCATGCAACCTAAACAATGTACCTGGCAGTTCCCAGGATACTTCAAAGGAACCTGAGAACCTTTACCATTCCCTGGCTGGTAGGAGGGCGAAGATGCCCTACTAGCAGTGAGACTCAGCCAAGCTGAAAGACTTCCCAAACTGACTTATTAGGAAGTTTTATTCAAAAAGACAATGTAATGAGTATAAGCACCAAAGTCAAACCCTGGCTTTGACACTTTTCAGCTGTCATCATCTTGGGGCAAGTGACTTAACCTCTTTGAACCTTAGTTTCCACTTTTATAAAATGGAAACAATAATAGTTGCTTTAACTCATAGACTAGTGAGGACAAAAGGAAATAACACACAGGAAATCCTTAGCAAATACCAGGCACAGAAAATGCATTTAATAAATATTAAAGCAATTTAAAAGGCGTAGAGCCAAGCAGTTAGGTGACAGCCTGCAGGTAACTGGGTGCTGGCAGGAAGTCCAACCATCCTCCCCTTCTCAGCCATATCCACCCACTCTCTACATTCCTGAAATCCTTGAGCCTCTCCCTTTCTCTTTCAGCTGCCCTCCCATTTAAGATTCCTGCTTCCGTACATACCCCATTTCTTGTCCTGGGCTTCTCTCCTCCCCATGTCTTCTCTCACCACCACCCCTAAAACCATTCCTCACCACATAATGAGCCTTCCTGCCCCTCTACTCTCTGAGACTCACAAACAGTTACTTAATGTACGCTCCATGCTAGAAGGGACACAGCTGAGAATCACGGCACCCCTATCCCTGGGCCAAATGAGAAGCCCCCATCTAATCCCCTTCCCATCAATCCTTTCCATGGGCCCAACTTCCATCTCCCCTCCCCCTTCCATTCTTCTTCCTTCCCATCAGTGATCTTGGGAGGTTCCTCTGTAAGCCAGTCTATTTCTTACCACCAAAGGTTTGCCTACTCCCCCAGCCAACTCCCTCCCCCCATTGTATTTTCCTCCCTTAAGTTATTTCCTCCTCAAAGGTCTCTATTTTCCATCATCACCACCCACCCTCCCCCCAACAAAAAATCCTAGCCTCTGTCTGGATGCTCTGCACCAATCCCCAGTTCATTCTTTTTTCTTTCTCTTTTTTCTTCATTCGTTAAGAATTCATTGAGCTCCTACTGTGTGCCAGGCACAGCACTAGGTTCTGGGATACAATTGTGAGCAAAACAGCAGTCTCTGTCCTCCTGAAAGTGCCAGTGTAGTAGCAGACAGAAAAGTAGTGAAAACAAACAGGATAACTGCAACTAGTGGAGATGCATTGAATGATATCAAGAGAAAGATGGACAGGAGTCAGGGTGGGGGAAGCACTTGAGGCAGGGTGGTCTGGGAAGGCCTGGCCTGGCTAATAAGCACAGCTACCACTGCTGGCTACCTACTGTGTAACAGACACTGGATCGGTCTCTTTCCATGCATGACATTACTAAATCCTTGCACAATGTTCACAACACCCATTTGCAGATGGGGAACCAGAGGCTCAAAGAGGTGAAGTAATTTGTCCAAGGTCACACTGCCATGAAGTGGTGAAATCAGGATCTGAAGGCGGGTCTGACTGCTGCACTCCTGCTTCCCAGAACCCCCTTTGCAACCTGTCCTCCCCTAGAGCTCTACTTCTGACAGTCCCTCTTTAGACTCCCCCTAGAAAATAGTTTGCTTTTAATTACTGCCCTAGATTGAGCACCTGTATGTGCTTCTAGCTTTATGTCTCTTACCCAACCCTCGAGACAATCTTGGGAAGCAGGTGCTGTCAGAAAACCCGTTTTACAACTGAGGAAACTAAGGCCTGCCTCCACACACTTAGATTCGAACCCAGATCTGTCCGACTCCAGGATCCAGACCTCTGACCTCCGTCCAGCCTAAGAAGTACCACCCCGGGAAGCTAGGTGCGCACGACCTGCTCCGGCGAGAACAAAGTCCGTGTCCGTAAGCTGAAATCTCGTCCCCTTACTTTACAGAGGGGCATACTGAGGTTCCGAGAAGCTGAGCGACTTGCCCAAGGTCACACAGCGAGGAGAGACTGGGTCAGGGTTCGAACCCAGGAGCCCTGATTCCAGAGCCCTCGCTCTTAACCCCCATATAGCCTTTCCCGAGCGCCTCTCTCCACCCTCCACCTCAGCTCTCACGCCTCCCAGCGACCCCGGCCCAGGGGTAGGCGCCCCCATCCGTTTCCAGCCCCGAGGCCTCCCACCTCCGCCCCCAACACACTCACTTGAGGTGGTCCAAGGAGTGGATGTTGCGGGAAGACTTGCCATGGCCCCCGCCCACCCAGCTACGCGACCGGCCAAACATGTCGGCGGCTCCGGCCCGTCGCTCGCCTCACGGCCTCATGCCCCAGCGGCCCAACGGCTGGAAGCCCGCGGCGCCAGCACAAACCACGGAGGTGGTGAAGAGACCGCCAACCACCTTCCTCCCCTGCCCACAGCCCCGCACTGACATTCAGCCGGAACCGGCCGTTCGACCGTCGCGCTTTACGGCCGCCGCCACGAGGAACGCTGGGAAATGCAGTTCGCCCGCGAGGCCCCAACAGACAGGACTCTGAGAACCAACTACAAGGCCCGGCGTGCATCACGCAACCGCGGGCCTGCGGCCTTGGAGCAGAGGCTGAGCCGGGGGAGGAGAGTGCGCAGTACCGCCCCCGTGGGCGGGAATGGGAACCCTGTGCGCAGACCCTCAGAAGGAAGTAGGGTGACTAAAAGACCAATATTAACAATTATTAGCTTTATGGTAAGAATAAGAGTAGATATTGCATAGTGTATACCATGTATCTAAGAGCTTACATATAGTATCTAATTCTAATAATCCGATGAGGTGTGTTCTATAATTATTCCCATTTACCGTCAAGGGAATCGAATCACAGAGGAGTAGACTTGCCCAAAGTCATGCAGCTAGTAAGTGACAGAACTAGGGTTCCAACAGAGGCACCCTTATTTTTATCCCCCAATAAACTAAATTGCATCAAATCGGTAATGGCCTTGGTTGCCCTCACAGCCTTTTCCTTTTTCTAATTCAATTAATACGTAGAAAGACCTTCAAGCAACAATGTACCAAAACTGAACGTCCTGTACTTTCAAGACGATTTCTCTGGTCTTCACCCAAAATCCATGCCATTTCCAAAACTACCATATTAAAAAAATGTGGAAACACTCAACTTCCTATTTGAGCCAAGAAGATGTCTCTAAATTTATCTTCTGGATAAGAAGTGAGAAGCTCCGTGGAGGTAAAATGACCCTCTTCACCGTTCATTCATTTATTTCTATGCCTCATACTTATCTGAGGCCCACTGCATACAAACTACTGTGCCCAGGACAGAATTGGGCCAGGGATCAATGTTCTCCCCAATGCCTAGGACAAGCCTTGGTGCTAATAGGTGTTCAACAAGTATTGACAGAGTGAACGAATAAACGAAGGTTTGTTTCACCTTCTGTCGTTGGAGAAAGGAAGACAAGTGAGGGTTAATGGTTTGCTATGTAACTCAGGTAAAGGGGCAAGAAACTGTCATGCAGGAAAAAGGGCAGGTTCTCTCCTCCAGACACAGGGAGGCCAATCAGCTTCGAGGGTCCCTCTATTTCACTGGGCCTTGGTTTCCTCACCCATAAAAAAGTGTAACTTACTACACTGCCCTGTCTGGCTCCACTTAAGCAACCCATGTAAAGCACCCAGTTAAGTGTGGCCTGAGATTTAAAAGTTTATGGAACTGCTTTGGAAGGCCCTGTGGGCAAGATCAGTCTCCTGGAAGGCTGCACAAGGTTTCCCCATTTGAAGGGGAATCACTTTTCTGTGTACTTCTTTGGTTGAATGTTTAACCATGTGCATTATTATTGTTTTTATACATGGCTTACAACGTACAAAGAAACAAGAAGCAACCCTACTGATTAAAGGTCCCACCTGCTTGGGAATCTCTTTACTGGGGTGTCCCTGAACCCTATGATGCAGAACCCTTCCCTATAGACAGACCTTCCTACTGCCAGAATTTGGAAACGAAGAGGGCACTGGTTCATCATCCCCACCATGAAAAACTGGCACTTTGGGAAAGTTCAAAATTTTCACTATTAGAGTCCACCACCCCTTTCCTTCCCCTCTCCTCCCCCACCCTCATTTTCATCTGGTAAACTGAGTCCCCAAAAGGCATGGCACCATATTCAAGTCCAGCAGGGTGCAGAGGGAGCTCGCAGTTTCTTTCAGCTTTTGTCCCCTTAAAATAATCTAGGTTAGAATTGTGTTGGGTTTTTTTCCACTCCCTCTACTCCAAGGGGGATTCTCAGAGCGAATTGGATTTGAGATCAGGGCGGAGTCCAGAACCTGGAAAGTAACTCAGAGGCCGGCGCCCGCGGAGACTGAGCTAAGAAACACCCGCCCCCAGACGGCTCGGGCCAATGAACGCGGGCGTTGAGCGGGCCAGTACGCGTGGACGGGGGGCTGTCGGCCAATGAGCGCGAGGTCGCTCTGGAGGCGGGGCTCGGAACGCGCCTCGCTGGGCGACGCGGTTGCTGCAGCCATGGGCTCGGAGCCTGCGGGGGCGCAAATGGGGCTGGAGGAACTGCCCGGCCGACCTGGGGAGGCTGCCTCCCGCACCGGCCCTAGACTCTGAGCCGCGGTGGGGTCCCTGCCGGCGCTGCGAGGGCCCGTGATTGCGAACGGGGCGCATCGGAGGAGCCGGACAGCCGTCGGGCACTTCCGGGGGGCCCGTCTGACCGCCGCGCTGATCGAGAGGACTGTGGGCACATCTAGGGGTATACGGGGACCCCGCCAGGCACGTTTCGGGGGCCGGGGCGCGTCCGCAGGGGCCCACCGCACATCCCCGGGGGTCACCGCCGGGCCCCAGCGCCTCCTTGGTCCGGCCCCGGCGCGTCCCTGGATGGCTGAGCGGTCCCCTCGCCGGCCTCCCGGGCGCCACAGCGGCTGAGCTCGCCGGGGTCTCCGGGCCGCTGCCTCCCTCGCCGCCCCCTGCATGCCCAGCGCCCGGGTCGCGGCCCACCTGGACGTGCTGGGCCCCCTGACCCCCTACGTGCCACCGCCGCTGTTGCCCTCTATGTTCTACGTGGGCCTGTTTTTCGTCAATGTGCTGATCCTATACTACGCCTTCCTCATGGAGTACATCGTCCTCAACGTGGGCCTCGTCTTCCTGCCCGAGGACATGGACCAGGCGCTCGTGGACCTCGGCGTGCTTTCCGACCCCGGCCTGGGCCTCTACGATGCCGACTCGGAGCTCGACGTCTTCGATGGTTACTTGGAGTAGGCCTCGCTGCCCCCGAACCCCTCCACGACCTGCAGCCTTCCACCCGGACCAGCCTCCCGGATCATGCCGCCGCTGCTGGCTGAGGACGCCGTTTGGCCAGGGATGGGACCTCCAGAACGAGGCCCTCTCCGGCCCCCGAAGCCTGTAAGTGCCCTCCCTCTGCGGGACGAGGGCGGGTTGGGGCCCTGGTGATGAAGAGGGAGGCATCCCCCAAGCCGGACACACACCCCTCCCCCAGGCTCCTGATTCATTCCTCCATTCACCTCCTCCAGGTCTACTTGGATGTCAGGAATGTTTGGACTCCTCTTAGGCCCTTCCTTGGAGTTGGAAAGCTTCCCCTAAGGAAGGTGACAGCTGTTGAAGAGGGGAAGGGAGGCAGGGCCTAAGTAGTGTTTGGGTTAGCCATGCTGCCAACTGCCACAGCTTGTGGAAAAAAACCTTTGCACCCAAATCCATTTGAGGCAGAGCTGTCAGCTCCTCCCCCTGTCCTCAGCCTGGCTTGATGATGACCTTGGTTTTGGGGGGATTCTCACTAGTCCCGGAAGGATAAAGACTTGTAGTGTCACAAAAGGTAGGAAGCCGGTCACCGGTCACCTTTGTCCTGTGGCCTCTTGGGGACTGAGAGCAAGGGCTCCTGGCTGGGGCTGTAAGAGGAGAAACCTCCTTCAGCAAAGAACCCTGTACTTCCTTTGGCCTTGGGTTTGCTGCTGTTTTGGAGTCAGGTTTCAGGGTGCCCCAGCTCAGCAATTCTGCAGCTCCAATCTGCAGGGGCTGCCAGTTTCACAGGCTGCCTTCATAGAGCAGGCAAGCAAGAGGGTTGGTGCTGGAGCTGGCTTTGCCTGCAGTGTTTGCAAGGCCTCAAGGGGCTCTTGGGCCAGCAGGAGAAGCTACAGGATCTTTGCACTGAGATGTTAAAGTCCTGCCTCTGGGCTGCAACCAGGTAGCTGTGTCCAGCCCCACAGGTGTCTTGGTGGGAGAGAAATGAAAATCCAGAAAGGAGAAATACTTGGCCAGAGTAACACATCAAGGAAGAGAGGCAAATAAGTAAAGAAAAGAAAACAAACAAAACAAAAGAAGAAAAAAAAGGAAGAGAGGCAGCTGGACTAGATGGGAGAGAGACCGGCAGACTGTTGGGTCTGGTGAGGGTTCACGGGACATGCAGGAACTCCTTTGCTGGAGCCCCTCAGCTGGCCAGTGCTGGAGTGTCACTAGGCACAGGGTTTGAGGGGCAATAGAAGGGGAATACTGAGACTTTGGGCAAGGGCTTCTTTTGGAAAACAGACACTAATGCCACTCATCCCAAGCAGGCTGAATAAACACCTCTCCTCTGTTGCCTTTCTAAGCCAAGATGACTGTAGTCAGAGGGTGATTCAGAGTGAGGCCTGACCGACTGCCAGTAGTGCTGGGGGCCAGGGGCTCCCCTGAAGGGTTAACAGTGACATTTCTTTGAAGAAAGCTTCATTTGAGCTACTCTGTATAATTACCCAGTCTGCCTGCCTTTCATCCATCCATGCATCCATTCATTGGTTCTTTTATTGAACAAATGTTTACTGAGTATCTACTGCCTGGCGGGTGAACACTGTGAACAAGACAGACTTAGCCCTGACCCTCCCGGCACTTAGTGAGAGAGATAAGCAGGTTTCCAAGCAAGATAATCAGATTTTTTTCAGAGGTATGAAGGCAGGTAAGGACATGGCTGTCCCTGTTGTGTTTACTGCTGTTTCCTCAGCACTTAGAATAGCACCTAGTATCTAGTAGGTGCTCAATAAATGTCTGTTGATTTAAGTGACACAGAAGAATAGAGATGGGCTGCTTCAGATAGGGGGGTCAGAGAAGGCCTTCTAAGGAGATGATACATTTGAGCTGAGCCCTAAATTGATAGAGGGACCCAGACATGAAGACCTGGGGAAGAGCCATCCAGGCAGAGGAAACTGCTAGTGCCAAGGTCGTCACGTGAGAGAGAGTTGGTTCTTCCAACAACTGAAAGGAGGCTGTTGTGGCTGGAGAGCAGCCCCAGGAGAAGTCAGTGGGGTGGACAGGGGCCAGACTGTGTGGGACCTGGAGGCCACAGCCATGAGCAGTGGGAAGCCATCAGCAGGTTTTACTTGGGCAAGGGATGACACAATTCTACTTCACATTTTGCTCAGATGGCTTTGGTGGTTGTGGGCAGAATGGGCTACAGGAGCAAGTGCAGAAACAGGGTAGCCAGTTAGGAGCTGTTTTGTTGCTTGGGCCAGAGGTGACCAAGGCTTGGATGAGGCTGGGTTAGTAAAGATGGAGAAACACGAGCAGACCAAGGACACCTTTTGAAGGTAGAACTATGGAATCCATTCAAAACCTGCACTGAGTATTGGTCATCTACTGTGCCTGGTTCCGGGCCCTTTTTGTATTCACTCCTTCAGTCATTCAGCAAATGTTAGCCCTTCCTACACTTCTGCCAGGCCCCGTGCTAGGCTCCTGGGGTCCCAAGGTGAATCCCTGCCTCCCAGCCAAGCGCTTGACTTTCAGACAGTGTAACGTGGTGAAGAATGTCTTATTTGATCTCTACCACATGACCGGAAACACTTCCCCTTCCAAATGAAAACATTGGCATACTCTGAACCAAAAACTGAAGCCTAAGTGCTTTGACATACTTTGCAACAAACGCTGTTTGGGCAGACACAGGAAATGTGTCTAAGATACACCCTTGCGAAGCTTTGAAAGCGACAGAACTGGACCCTGGGAAGTAGGGAGGCCTGGGGCTGTGGGAAATACTTGTGCCTGGAGAAATGGTGGAAGTCACGCACAGCATTCCTTCTTCCCCACTCCCAGATCCAAACCAAGGTAGTCTTGGCCCCAAGGACTGGGGAAGCCCAGACTTGGTTGGTTGGGTGAGGGGTGGCTAGAAGCAGGAAAGGCCTTTGGGAAAGATTAACGATGATCTGACTGCACCTCATCTCCAGGACCCTTTCCATAATCAGAAGAATACCAGTGGTCAAATCTTGCTCTTTCTCGCTCATTCTCACATGGACACAGTTTCATGAAACACTGACTACAGGTGAGGGGCATGTCAGGCAGTTGGGGACAAGGGTGGATCTGAAGATGAAAAGATTCACTCACTTTTGCTCCCTCTTTCTCTTTGTTCTCTTATGTGTGTACCCACATAATCCAGGTCCTCAAACATTTGTTGAGAACTATTAAGAGGCAGTGTTAGGGTCAAGCGCCCCAGATTAAGATGCCCTGGGTTCAAATCCCAACCCTAACTATAACCTCGGCATGCTACGTACCTCCGTGTGTCAGATTCCTCTTCTATAAAGCAGAGATCATGAAAATACCTCCTTGTGAGGATTAAATGAGATATATGTAAAGCTCTTAGACCTTCCTGTATTTAGTGAGTGATATGTTAAAATTAACCACTATTATCATTAACAGATATAATGGAAAGTGTGTACACTCAGGCTCTTATGAATGTATATACCTGCGCATATACCCATTGATAATTTATATCCCATGATGAGCAAAAGAGGACTGGCTGGCTGAGTGATGGGTAGGTCCAGGTCTAGACTACAAGGACAGACTTCTCACTCTGCCTTCTAGCCCTGGGACCCTCAGGAGATCTTGCCCATTGTGCTGTGGCCTCAGAAGGCCACCAGCTCTGTGGTTTTCCTAAAATGTTAATCATTGCCTAGGAGCAGGGGGAGTGGGGAGTCAGGAGCTCTCTCCTTCCCAGGAGAAAGGGCCACTGCAGCTGGCCTGGGAGTGAGGCGAGTCCTTGCGTCCTAGTAGTTCTGAAGTGGAGGCAGCTCAGCTGGATTGGTTTGTCCTGGTTGCTGATGAAAGCAGATGGTGCTGCCAGCCCTCTCTTGGCATAGAGGAAGGGCTGTGGGAGAGGAGCCTCACTGCACTGGGAACGGAGAGACTGGAGAATGCAGTTGCCAGAGTCAGCAATGGCCTGGTAGAGCTCAGATTTAGAGCTAAAGGTAACCAGACACAGTGGTCAACTTATTACAGGGTTTCCTAGGCTTCAGTGTCCTTCCTGGATGCTGCAGCTACTCCTTCCTGATCTACCTTCCCTGCTCCTTTGTGCCAATCTGTGGGTTGTGCCATTAGCAGAACACACAGGAAGCTGGCATGTCACTGCTTTTCTGAGAAACCCAAACCTTTTTGGGATCATAGGCACAACAGATTCAGGTCCTGGGAGATCCCCCAAGTAACTGGTGGAGTTCCAGGCAAAGGTCTGATCTGATGGGGAAACCAGGTAGAAAGTAATGACTGTCATCCAGGCAAGAGACAGGCGATGATGACGAGGGGAGGCACGTGTACCTCTAGGCCTGATGACTCTCCAGCTCTGTCCTGACATGAGGCTTACCCGAAGGACGCTGTCCACAGGGTGCATTGGTTTTGGCTGCCCCTTTAGACAGGAGAAAAGCCCAGTGTCTGTCTCAAGACAGCTGAGATGCCAGAGGTCCCACTTTGAGTTATGCAAATAAGGTTTCGTCCAAGGCACACCTTCGCAGGCCTTGTGTCTGCTCTGTTGAACTGAGAAACGAAGGACTCCTCAACTTAACCATTCGTATTCCTGGTTAATCTGCTGACTTTCCCCCTGGGACTTCTGGAAGCTTAGTTTGCTTTGGAAAACCAAGATCACAATAAAAGGGACAGGCATCATTATCCTCCATCTCACAAATAAAGAAACTGAGGCCCAGAAAGGTGGAATAGGGGTCAGGGGAACAAAGCTGAGTAAGAGCTGTGCCTCCCCACCCAGTGCTGGGGGCTATGGGTTGCGGGGGGCCTCCAAGGAGGGGCTCTGACCCTTGTCCTTTGAATACTACTCCCTGCCCTGCCAGGCCTGCCTCATGCATTCATTCCTTCTTTCTGAGTTTTTCTTTTAAGTAAAACTTTTAATTTATTTTTTTTATTATTATTATTATTATTATTTTAAATATCTTTATTGATTTCAGGGAGAGGAAGAGAGAGAGTTGAAACATCAGTGATGAGAGAGTTGTCACTGATCGGCTGCCTCCTACACGCCCCTGACTGGCAATCGAGCCTGCAACCCAGGCATGTGCTCTGACCAGGAATCAAACAGATCTCCTGGATCCTAGGTTGATGCTCAACTGCTGAGCCACGCCCAGCTGGGTAGTAAAACTATTTTTAAATTTACA